AATAAAAAAATTTAATTTATCCATTTTTGTGCATGAAAAATTTGTGTGTCTTAATATAAATAAAATACATATATTTGTCAGTGTCCTTTGTCTAGTTAATACAGAAAAATAAAACGTTACTAAATTAAAAATAGCAGTAGCATGTACATACCTTCAATTTGACTTCATTCGCGTACCAGCAATACAAAAAGATTTGTGTAAGCATGCACGACATGTACATACCTAATTCAACAAATTTTCCGCTAGTCTTAGTTAGCTGATATAAAGTAAAGCACACCACTAATGTACTTACTATAAACTGAAAAGTGATAGTAAACCTAAATTTTTTGTTTAATATAAAAGCAAATCTGAAATCAATTAAATATGTTTTAATTATTGACTATTTTATTATTGACAGAGATATTAAAAAATATATAATGGTAAAAAATTGCGATATAATAAAATCTTTGATTTGTGAGTATATTAAATACAAATATTGTTTGCATTTAATAAAGAAACATTTCTCCAACTTAGTTATGTATATCACATGAAATTTAAAGAATAATATATAATCCTAAAAGTAAGGATTTTGATTGTAACATTAATTATTGAAAAACGAACTTAAATAGAAGATTGTGTTGAATAACACAGTCGCGAAGTATTTTCGGATTATGTACAATATCTTTGAAACGACAACTTAGTATTTCTAGTTGACAGCATATATGCAACAATAATCCGCAAATAAGACCATCGCAAGCGACATGCAAGACAGATCCAACTGTCAAACTGATTAATTGATGAAAATACGTAAAGTGGAATAACGCTGTCGAAGAGTAGTCGAACGGTAGCCACGCTCTGAACGTTAACTTTTCTTTCCTGTAATCCGTGAGCAATGATGCTACCGCCGTGGATGCGCATGTTAATTCAACCAGAATCATATAGTATAGAGTGTTTGTCCTGTAAAATGGCTGCATGCGTTTTATTTTGATTACTCAACGCTTTCTTTAATGTTAACCCTCCCTCTGATATTTTTCATCCACATGAAACAATCTTAATTAAATAAACCTGCTAATTTTCCAAATTGGAAAATTAGTGATACAACATTTTACTTCTTTAATACATAATTTTGATAAAAATTTGATTTAAAAAAACAATACATATTAAGTATCAAATCTCTATTAAAAGAAAAATTATCACACATAAAAAAATATGTTACTTTCTAACAAAATTTGATTATTGAAAAATAATACTGTTTAATAAAAGATTAATTAATTAAGGAGTTATTATAAATTCTAATAAAATTTCATATCAATCTGTTAAAAAAACATAAATTGTTTAATTCTTTAATAGATAATTAAATACGAAATACAATTAAAAAGTGATTGTCTTGCAGCGTACTTACTCTATGAGCTTATCGTATCTCTGTCGTATTTCCACTTCGATTGGATTGCATGCTTTGCATGGTTTGTTCGTAAGAATATCTGTTAGCATGACAATGTTACTACGATTTATTAACAGGCTAAACATTTTGAAACAAGAAACGATCATGGCAAGCAGCATGTAAAAATTGTCCATAAAATCTTCCGGATTGTCGACGGTCAGAATTATATCCAAGAATTGTGACAATGTAAAAGTATTTACCAGTAAAAGTATAAAAATAGTGTACACATAGTATATTAAGCGTCTGTGTGGAGACGCTGTCCAGGAATTCGGTATCCAACAACCGCAACTCGATAAAATTTTAAATGTAAATTCTAATATGCACATTTTAACTTTGATTTCACCCGTCTTTTTACATCAAAAAATTATTTCTTATTAATCTCTTATCAAATAACCGTAAGCTATATAATTAAATATACGTGTTATATAATTATTTATAAAGTAATTTATACTAGATAAATTACATGTCCAATGGTATCAAAAACTAATTGTCAATTAACAATTTCGTTAAAAATGACTGTAGTGACAGATTCGACAGAGTGATAGAGTTTTTATAGATACGCACAGTAAAATCTTGAGAGACTGCTGATTATCAAATGTCTATAGCCTCGCAATCGTCCGGTAGTAGTACTCAACTTCCCCCTTCAAATGCAAGGACTTTCATTATTTAGACTATAAATATGCCCTTTGCATAATAATATTTTCATGCAGAAACAGTGTAATCATTAAACAGAGATCTGATATTACATGCGATGTCACGACATAATATTTCATAAGAAAAATACTTAAGATATAAGAATTGAAGAGAAAGAAATCGAAGAATAAGGAATCCTTGAAAATTATGAATAATACAATGTTCTTTACGTAACGTTAGGAAATATAAAATTTACAGCTATACATCTATACAGCTATATTTCCAGTTATATTTCAGTCAAACTTTAACATTCTGTAATAAATCACAATCCCGCGTATACAAGTGTACATTAATATAAAATATGTGAAAATATTATGTGAAAATATGAATATACATCGTAAGTAAAGATGCTATAAAAAAATATATTATGTAATATAAGTAATAGCATTAAATCATTTTCATTTCATGTTAGTGTAATATACAATTATAATATTAAATTATAGGTTCCAGAAAATTTTATTATAATTTTTTGTTTTGCATAAATTATTTATATAACACATGAAAAACATGGATAACAATATTTAAATAATAATTTTTCAGTCTTCATTATTTGCATCTTGTATTTGCTGAAGTATGTTATAAGTTTAATAAGATGTTTTAAACAATTGCAACAAACAAAATATTTAATTAATTAAATTTAGATTAATATTTAATTAAATTCGGAATTGCGTTATAAAAGTCATTGTACTAATTATGCTATAATTATAAATGTTAATATGACATAATTAAATGTAAAAAATTTTCCAAACAATAAGATTCCGGATAGGACTGCGTTTTGTCACGTACGTCTGACCCGCGGCGATAAATTGGAGGATATCAAAATATACCAAAAACTCCAGATTTTCAGTAGGAAATAACAGTCTAGACATATTGTCTATTTAATGAATGTAGAGTCGTGACATACTCATAAAATTCTATTAGAACTGCGTTTTCGAATAGGACTGCGTTTTGTCACGTACATCTGGTCCGCAGCGATAAATTGGATATCAAAATATATCAAAAACTCTAGATTTTCAGTAGGAAATAACAAGTCTAGACATATTGTCCATTTAATGAATGTAGAGTCGCGACATACTCATAAAATTTTATTAGGGTACAAAATATCTTCTTAGCTTAAAAGACAGTAAAAGTATATTTTCTTTGATTTCAACTATTAAATCCCAAATCTCGGGGCTTAATGGTTGAAGATAGATAAAACACATTTTTATTGTCGGAAATCTTACGTTCAACTAATAAAAGAGAAATCGCTGATGAAAAGGGAAACAGATATAAAACATTATTTTTTGAAAAAAGTAACGAACCCTCAGATGATGTACATCCCCAAAACTCTGGGTGTAACTAAAACTGAACTCACTAATGGATAATCGATAATTAAATAAAATTTGTAGTAGTGAAGGTAACGAATCATCAATAACAAATAGTAAATTGGTGTACCTATAAGCGGAGATGGTACACCAATAAATAGTTGTAAAATTCAACAATTGTAAAACGGGCCGAGTGATCTCGAGTTAAACTATAATATAATAGCTCTTCAATAAAATGTTAAAGAAACTAAAGATTGTTCCTTGTTTTAACGAGACCAATGAAAATCATAACTCCTCAATTTTAATCCCACACCTTGTAAAATCTTCTGTATAAACCGCGACATCGTCATTTTCACATTGAAATTCTCTGCCTTAAACTATCTGTACTTGGTATTTCTCTCACAATAGTCTACTTCTTCGAGCAATATACATTTTACACTTCGCTCCTGGTTGATCGTTAAAATCTGTGCGTGATTTAAACCTGTGTGACACATCACTCTTAGAGACCCTAGCCAAGGCCCACCATTTCAACTCTAATACGAGTCAACCTGATCAATAAGTAGCAAAGTCACACAATTTCTTTATTTATTGTGATAGGTTTTTTACAATCATACCATTGATAAGAAACGTAAGAAATGTATTATAAAGATACTAGCTATAAATAATGTCAATAGTAAATAAATATTGTACAATGTTTGGAATATGTTCATCTAATTATCTTATTTAACACAAAATTATTATTATTATGTTGAGATAAGAAATGACGTAAGAAATGTATTATAAAGATACTAATAGAAAAAAATATTGTACAATATTTAGGTTCATCTAATAATCTTATTTAACACAAAATTATTATTATTATTATTATTGATTACAATAATTTAATTTAATATTTCATTTTTATACACATATTTGTTTCATACAATACAAAGATTAATGTTTATATAAATAGAAAATATAAATATCAATTTTCTTCTACTTTTATGTTTTTACTACTTTATTATCGCGTTTGTTGAAGTAGATTGTAAGCAGAATACGATGTCTTGAGCAACTGCAACAATCAAAATTATTTGCTTACCACGTATTTCTACTATAAATTAATAATTCATTTCTTTCTAATGACACAAAAAAAATTAATTTTTTATTTTATGAATTATTTGTAATTAATCCCTTCATTAACATAAAATGTTCAAAGTTAATTTCAACTTTTTTAATCATGAATTCTATTTTTAATAAATTTATTGTACAATATATTTATGTCAAAATACAAAAAAAAAACATTTATAAATTTGGGTATTGTTTTAAAATCAATAAGATTAAAAGTAATTTTTTATACTAACACTAACAAATGATTGAAGATTCATAGAGATAATGTAGGCACTGGTGAACTCAATAGGTATTATACTGCGCTTCATAATTATTAACAAATTCTTTTGAACGCGATAATCCAATGTAAACCATTCCATTTCGAATATATTACTGACCAGTTGCTGACTCTACATTTAAGAATATACGGAAAATTTTATTTATTAGCCTCCCTAATTTTAGTTATAGTAAAACAAAGAGAGATACTCAAATTGTATGCTTTCTTTGTAGATTGGTCTATATTTTATACATCTATATGGATCCAAATATGTATAATAAAACAAAAAAAAATTCATAGATTAATTTTAAAATGTAAGTACTTGTAATCCTTCTTTCTCTCTCTTTCTCTCTAAATATAATAAATATAAATATAAATTAATATAAATTTTTGTAATACAATAATATTTGACATATCTCTCACGTGCTATTGTCAAATTAGACATTAAAAAACATGCACAAAATAAAAAAATATACAATATGCAAGAAAAAACAAAAAGAGAAAATAAGAAATTATATATGTAAAAAATATATGTGTGCACACCTTCAACTTAACTTCGTTTCCATACCAGCAATAAAAAGAGATTTGTGTTAGCATGCAAAACATATATAATATTATTTGAACATATTTCGCACTTAACACGCTCGTCTGCGTCATTTGGTACAAATTGAAGCATACTACTAACGTACTCACTAAGAATTGGATGGTGATTGTGAATTTAAATCTTTCGTTCACCATTAATGCGAATCTACAATCAACCGGATGTAAATTTCAAATGTTTCTATAATTATACACATATCTATAATTATATATTTTATTTTATTATATATAAGATAATTATATATTTTTTGAGAAATTATTTTTATCTCAACGATAATACAGAACCAACTCGAAAATGCTTGTGTGCTGTACAACGCATTCGCGAAGAAAATGTGATGGCTTGTTTAGGAGTTTTTTCAAATGACACTCCAATATTTCCAGCTGAGAGCAAATGTGCATCAGTAATCCGCAAATTAGGCTGTCACAAGCGACCTGAATGATCGATCCAGCTGTTAAGCTTATCGATTGATGAACATAAGCGATTCGAAATAACATCGGCGAAGAATAGTTGAATGGTAACCACGCACGAAAAGCTAGTCTGTGTTTTCTGTAGTCTTTGAACACAGATGTTGCTAATGCAAACGCACATGTCATTTCGACTAGAGTCGCGTAACAAAACGTGTTTGTTCTGTAAAACATATTAATTACAATTAGATTTCCCTTATTATTTTTTTCATTAATATTAATTTATTATTGAATCATAACATTTTAATTTACCGGCATATGAAATTATCTTTAAAATCAACCTTTAAAAAAATAGTATGTGTCCTACATGATATATAATTATAGCGTACAAAAAAATTATATATAAGCAATGTTCATTATAGATATTTTCTCTTTGCAATATAACGAAAAGATTTAATTCTCCATAACATGTAATTACGCTTCGTATAACTATTAATTCTTTTAAAATACTTGCTGTATGAGATTGTCGAATTTCTGTCGAATCTCTATTTCATCATGTTCAGTAGGCCTGCATGGCTTTTTCATCAGAATATCGATCAGCTCTGCAATGTTGTTGCGATTTTTCAATAAACTGAACATCTTACAGCATGATACGACCATAGCAAGCGTCACATAGAAGTTCTCGGTGAAATCGTCGGCATTGTCCACAGTCAGAATTAGATCCATCAGTTGCGACAACGTAAATGTATTTATTAGCAAAACTATGAAGACTGTATATACATCATACACAATACGTTTATACCGCGACGTCCACGAATGCGGTGGCCAGCATCCGCAAATGGTAAGAAGTTTAAATGTGAACGTCAAAACGCTCACTTCACTTTTACTCATCATATTTGGTAAAGATATAAAAAATTTTATTCTCTATTCTACTCTCTACAATTAATGCAAAACGTTCTTATATTAATTAAATCGTATATTTTTTTATTTCATTTCTGATCACTTTAGATATTGTAGAAAGAGAATGTGATTATTTCGTCATTCGACATTCATTACAATTTACAAATATATATAATTCTCGGTTAACAAATAATACACATATATTAAACAATTGTAAAATAATTATGCATTAGATTTTCATTAAAATGTAATTGAACCATAAAATAAAAGAGTTTCTAATTTAGTGTTTTGATATTGATAGCTAAAAAATACACATATATGTAAATATATATATTGAGCACTGTGATAATATGACAAACATATTCTTTGCAGCACGACAAAATAAGAAGATTTTAACTGGTGATCGTAAAGAAGTCTACAGTTTTTCGCAATTCAATTTTTCATCTGAAACTTCCGTCTATGCATTCGACGACTATGTCATTATCGTGGCACAAAACTTGCAATTTTACGTCCCCACGCAGAACGTTTTTGCATACGCAACAGTTTTAAAATGCATGTCTTATACATGATGTCGTGCACTGCCACTTTTATGCCCAACTGTGGCTTATAGTTCAACGTTATGCCGTACAATATCAGCAAACTATCAATTATGGTTTAGCCACATGAAATCTTGATGCAAACGTAGCTCAAATCATATTTAATTTATTGCCGCCACAAGGTACAGTTGAATGTTTCACCCCAATATTCATAGATTGAATTGCCAGTTCGGTTGTTTTTGTTAAAGCAAAAGAAAAAATATATAATTTAAAAATATAAATAAAATCATTTACGCGCGCAAATACATTATAAAAAAATACATGTTGAAAGATTAGAGAAGATACGTAGAAAGTGATTAATACTGTTGTCACAGTATTAATCACAATAAGTTAACATATTAAATTATGCAGTGTCAAGTTCTCTACATACAGATCATTTTATTTTTAAAAGAAATTGTCTTCAAAATTAAATCTGTGTGTGTTAAAGTGCAGCGAAGTTTATTAGAATATATCAAAATTGTCAAACGTAATAAGGTATAGTACATAGAATAAGCTATATAAACTGTTAAAATAAATAAAATAGATTTTACCTATTATCTCTAGCAACCAGTAACTAATAATATTTTGTATAAAAAAAACTATTTATAATAATTACAAAATGTCAATAAAACTTAAAAATATTGTAAATGTACAAACATACAGAATGCAATTGTCTTTATTTAATAAATATCAATAAATTTATAATCAAATATTCAGATTTATAAAAAGTTAATTAAAATTTAACAAAATATATATACTTATAATAGCTAGCTGTAATATATACAGATTTAGAATTTGGGTATTATTTCATAACACATTTGCAAATTAAATTGTCGCCAAAATAAATTTTTTAAATAATTTCGTTTTAATTGCTAATTATCAGCTGTCAATATTACGTATTATTTTTTCTTGTATATATGTATATCGATTTATAAAATATAAAAAATCAATAATGTAATAAAGAGACAATATTGATCGACTAAGGGTAATAACGTTCTCAATGCCACGATTATTGACTCACGGTATAAAATGTGAAACGAAAGAGTATATGTAGAGAGAAGTTTCTCTAGTATATTCAATATAACTCTGCAACAATTCAAACATTTTGTGAATTTACCGACTGGTAATAACTCAATCCGTTGATATTAAATTTTTTTTTAAATTTTAATAAAAGAAAATATTTTAAAAAATAACAAAGATATTGCGAAAGACATTAGAACATTTTGTAGATAATTTAATATAAATATAATTGATCTCATATCTTAAATGATTCGTTAAATTATAACTAGATTCTGACATATTTTCAAAATTTTTCAAAATGCTCAAGTTTTACGAATTTAAAGTTATTGTAAACGTAATAAGTAATCAAAATAAGGTATTTATATTTCTATTTATTTACTATTTTTTAATAAATTTTATCTTCATTGTATAATTATCATCAATCGTTAATCAAGTGACAAAATTTACAATGTATGGAGCAACCGGACCAACTGTCTTTCATAAAATCTGCCAGATGACTCTACTGTTTATTAAATACTTGAATTCAAACTCCTATTTTATATGTATACTGTTATTGCAATTCTTATTAGTTCATAAACATTTATAATCAATCAACATTTTGACAAAAATTACCCCGTACGAGCTAATATTTTTTATATTATATATTTTATTTTAATGTAAAATAAAATTTTTTTTTACTTTTCAGTAACAAAATACTATATTTAAAAATCTAGTTTTATACAAATTAGCCAAAAATATTGATTTTTTTTAAATATTTATAAATCAATAATCGATAATAACTACATTCTCTGAAAAATTAATATTTTATTGAACTAAATCAAGTATACTTTAAATAAAATAAATACCGGTATATACATTCTATAATTCAAATCAAAGTTCAATGTTTATAATTTTATAAGTTTATACATATAATATAGGTAAAACATTTTAAATATCAAAATACACGCATAAATAAAATAAAGAATTTAAAAAGTCTATTTCCTGAATTCTAATGTGAATTATAAATTGCCTAATGTTTAAATCAAGATTTGTTATCAATCACATAAGCGTCTCATATTTCACATCTGCACGGGATGGACCGTGGCCGTGTGAAATTCCAACGAGAGGGTGAAGATGAAGCGAAACCCAAAGGCGAAGCGAAATAAATCTGATCGTACCGAAAGGGTCGGGGTTGTCAGCGTTACGATATAGGGTCTGTTCTTATCTGCAAAATACAGGCAATGCCGTCCCGCACTCTCCTAGTATTCTAGATCCCACGTGTACATTGTCCAAAGTCCAGGAGAGGAAAGTGAACAGGACACGCCATGATGAATCGGCCATATTGCCCTGAACTATTCGCAAAAGAGGGTTAATCCTGCTTGTGAACTAGTATTTTTATGTTCAGTCATACATATTTTTGCAAATAAAAAATTGCAATAAACATAAATTTTTTAATTATGGCAAATAAAAGTATTACAAAAATAGCTTTCTTAATTGTACAATGTAATATCAAAAAATTTGAAATACAGTCAAAGTTTTTCAAGTAATCTGTTTCTTTTGTTTCTTTACAAATTAATTTTTATCAACAGTAAGCTTGTAAGAAATTTCAATTACAATTTGAACAAGACAATTTGATTACAAATATATTTTATTATAAAACGTTAATTTCAATTTTTTTGATATAAAAAATTACAAAAACTAAGAAAAAAAAACAGTAAGAAAGGGATGTGCAAAATTTATGTATATGTACGTTATAGTTATAATATTATTACCCATAATATTATTATCCCAGCGTGGGAAGATGACAAATCATCTTATCAGTATAGCAACGAACGTGACAACCGCGTGGTAACCGATTCTGAACATATGTATCTTTTATATTCTCAAGTCACGCTATAGAGCATCAGTTATGAGCACAACCGACGGATTCTATATTCGTTCGAACTGCACGCCATATATAGAGTGTTCCAAAAGTAATTTTTATTTTATTGCTATGGAATCAATCGTATTTTCTCCAAACAATCTCTCACGTTTCAAATCATAAGATTCGTTCGTGTAACATTGGTAAATGCAATTATGACGGTGTATTTCGAAGTAAAACGGACTTTCCCGTCACTTTCCTTCTTCCGTTCTTAAGCGTACCGTGTTAATATTTAATGGATCACGAATGTGGGTAATAACGAGACCTCAATTTTTATCGTGTTTCTAGGTCGGACTCGTTCCCGCATTCTTCCTGGATCGGTCACCGGGTACAATTAACGAATCCTATCGTCTGGCCGGCTTCTGTTGTCCTTAGTGTGAACTTTACAAGACTTATATAATGCATGCGTAAGAAGAATGGACCACCCATGTAGAGAGGTCTCTCTCGACTCGGCTTCGAGTGCACTTCGGGATTGCGCGCGCGGACGAAGCACTCCATCAGAAGAAGTAGTCGGCCGGACAGCATACCGGGTAGAAAATGACACCAGTCTCGAGATGCACGTTTCGTATCAGTCAGATCGAACTCTCGAACCGTATTTTCTCTTTTCGCATTTTCGCGAAATTAGAAAACGACTGTGCAATAATACAAATTTTATTGCAAACAAAGTTTGCTGATTTTAGCCTGCTTTTGGCAACGTGACAAAACAATAATAATAATGTACGCTGAAATAATTTCAGAACAAATAATCCGTTCAAGAAAAATTAATATTTATTTACATATAATAAGAGAAGAAATATATATAAAAATTGTAAACAGTTTCTTATGTCTGCACTGTTAAACCTACAGTGTCAAATTTAATTCTATTTAAGTCGCCACTGCTCCTATTTAATATATAGTTATTTTTAATTAAAATAATATAGCTTTTTTTAAAATAAAACAATGAAATTTAATCAAAATTTGAATTAAATTTGAACTGTTTTAAATTATTTAAATTATTTAACTTCATTGTTTTAATTGAAAATAACTATTCATTAAGTAGGAGTGCAGTGACGACTTAAATCAGGTTAATTTTGATACTATAAATTTAATAGTGTGCCTTGTAATTAAATTGCGTAATTAAACTTTTCTATCAATGTACATGCTTAATATTAGTTTGTCATAATTCTTAAAAAAATGTTTACTTATATTTCAAAAAAAATTTTCAATATTGAAAGATATAGTTTCCTTCTTTGTTCATGGAATCTAGTATCTATGGTTTCGATATCATCATAGATAATGATGATAATTATGGAACCTTCTATAATATTTATCTATAAACGAACAGGCAATCGCTGCGATATTCTACA